ATATAATGAGTTGCAAACACACACTGGGAATGCTGTTTTTGTTCAAAAAATAACTCGTCGGTTAATATACAATATGTGCACTGGATGAATGTGTGCTTCTATTCCCATAATGCAATGAGAGATCATAGAGAGGAGCTGTCACACTTTGCTGGACTGATACTGATTATTTTGGCTGTTCATGTCATTGCTGTCTATTTGTCTACTGAACAATACAGTTAAAAAGCTAATGTTCAGAAATCAAATTAAAGGATGTCTCCTCTACCTCAGGAAGTACAGTTCCAGGCTGTTTAAAGGGATGGATATATTCTGCCTAAGTTCGAGCTGTTGCGATGTACTCACATTTTCTGTGCAACCAACTGGAGATGAAGTCATGTATGCACCAAAATGCAAATAAGTTATTGAACTTCTGTGTACTCAAGCAAGGAAGCAGAAAGAAGAGGGAACAGTGACCACTCATATTGGGAGCTCTAGAATGGATTAAATGTCATCAAGAGGGTATATAGAAAGAAAAGTTCTTCCTTCAAGACAACAGGAAAGCAAATTCACTAATGAAACATGAATGTGATATCAGGGCAAATAAACAGCACACTCAGGTAAATATCCAAGCACCTACGTAGTTCTGTCAATTTCATTACACAGCATTAACCTATGAACGACAAGCCTCACAAGCTTTGAAGACAAGATGTTCAAAGCAAATTTACTTTCTAATATAGAGTACAATGAAATATGAAGGAAGAATTGCTATCAGAAAAAATGTTTGTGAGAAGAATGTCTGAAATATTAAGTATGTATACATTGGAATCAATATCAAAGAGGTAAGAAAAGAGCAGATTAGTAAACTGAGAAAAGTGACTTTTTTTTTTTCCTTCAGTTTGAGGGTCAAGAAGATCACAGTCTGAGCAGCAAGGCTCACTATGTTACAAGTATGTCCTCAGCTGCAGCCTCTATCTCAACGAATAAGAAAATTGTTTGAGGCACTAGCAGTAAAGGGAGACAAGCTGTGATCATAAACTTGTTTTCAGTGTTGCCATTAGTGTTCAGATATTGAATTTTTTATTAGTTTTTGTAAGCTAATAATGACAGAATTAGGCTTGCAGTCTTTGACATAGGATGCCATATTTCTTCTGCCACAACAAATTGCAGAATCGTATGCCTGTTTAAGGTGCTGAAAGGATCAAAGTAAGTGCAACTTCCTTGACAGAAGCAACTTTCAAAATCAGCTTCTTAAGGACATACCTCCTACTGAGCCCTTTATTTCAACTATATTTTGCATGTAATTCTGCCAGCTGTCCCATTTTAGAGCTTCCTAGTGGACTCTGAATCAGATTAAGAGGTCTACCCAGTACAGATGAGAGAGATGGAAGAAGAAGAAACTAGGTAAACATTTAAATTCCTGGTCTAGGGCTACTAAAAGATTCTGATAGGTCAATGAATGAAGACAGTTGTGCTTTGCAGCCTAAAGTCTCTGCTGATTCTGAGAGAGGGAAAGGAATAATGGGCTTGATGTGATTGCAGAAGAGAATTTTTTTTTTTTTGAACTTGGAAAACTGTTGTTAAGAAAATAAAAAACCCCACCATGCTATTGGGGAGTTTACAAGGTGAAGAACTCAAAGTTATGAAATGCCTCAATCTATGTCCATGGATAACCTACAACCTGCACATACACATGTACATTATCAGAGTATATTTAATTGCACACAACTTTATGTGATAAACACAGCCTATCACGTTCACCTGCAGTACTTCTGCCTCATGAAATTTATTGGACAGATCATGCCCTAAGGATGTATCAAAGTGAAAGGGACAGTTATGCAAAGGACTCCCATCTCTGTCTGGTTTCTGAGACAGGGACACACGAGGTGAAACAGGATGAAAATTTGCAGAAGGAAAACTGTCTTCCTGATTAAGTCCCTTGACTATCATCTTGATCTCTGATTTTTTTCTCTGTCTAGATCATGGTTTTTCTGTGTGATACTGATCATAGCATTTGTGCAAACTCTTTCTCTGTGATCACTCCTGTTTCATTTTCTGAGTGCCCAATCTGAAACAGCAGGAGTGTTGAACTCTAATAATTGTGAAAGTTTGATATGAACTGTGCTCTGAACACATAAAAGGCAGCAGAATGCTCTGAAAAAACTGGGCTCTAGTCTTGAAAATTAGCCTCTAAAAATGAATTGATACAGGGCAATTTTGGCTTCAGTCTCAGTGCCTCTGTTCCCAATTTGTAAAACTGAGACACCATCCTATTACTAGGCTGTTGTGTTGTATAAATAAATTCATTAATATCTACAAAAAAAGACATAGACATCAGGATCAGATAAAAGACCCTGAAAACGAAATACATTCATGCTCAGTGTAGCCTTTGGATATTAAGCATTAAATGACATACAGGACCACTCATCAGAAGAGGATGAAGAAAAACTGTTGTGGGTTATGTAGATTAATGACTTTATCATAGTACATTCACACAGCAGACACAAGACTGTAAGGTACTTTAGCTCAGGTATTTCCTGATTGTCAAGCTTCACCAGTCTTTTCAAGTAAGATTTTCTTTTTTGTTTAGAGATATTTGTATATCTATAAATTTCTGAAGTTTCTACATGGACAGTTAGGAGCCAGCTATATAAATCCCCAGTACATGGATAAGGATTTGAATCTAAGCCCTTTGGATCTAGAAGGAGAAAAAAATATAAATAATTTTAAAATTCTGGGTTTTTTTTTACTTTTTTTTTAAAGTAAATCAAATTCCCAAATTACTGAGATTAAGGGGACATTTAAAAGAGAATTATTTTAGATTATCAAATGTCAGCTACAGAAAACATGCCCTAGACATGCACAGTTTTTTAAGAGATTATGATCTTTTTTCGTGATACTCTTATCCAGCTTTCCATATCAGAAGAAGTGCTAGTCATGATACAAGAGTCTGAACTACTGTATAGTTCTAGCATATTTCCAAGAAGACAAGGGGTCCAGATAATAATACACATTTGCTCTGCTCTATTTGCTTCTCCCTGAAGTCAGGTCAGAGCTTATTTTCAAAGCCTTCAATACACTACACCAAAATTTATTCTTAAAATAAGTCTTATTTTTAGGTGCCCTTGGCTACTTCTGAATTTTCATGAAAGGAATGACGTGTTCATATGCATGGGAACGGCAGATGTCTCAGCAGATACAGATCAGAAGTGCATGTCCCTTTAGAAGGCATGCAAAATTCTCTTTTTTTAAACTCAACTATCTAAACTTGGTGTGTCTGCATGTCTGCTGTATCATTAACATTTCTGTTAAAAGCAAATGTATTTGAAAGTGTGTAGTTAAACTGCACCACGAGATGAAACGTGGACTTTGGGAATGGCATGACAATTACACAGTAACGAAGTAATGAGCATCGTTTCACTACATCAGGACTGAAGAGATCAGACAAAAAAGAGAGGGGCTACCATAACCTACCTGAGACCATTCAGAATAGATTTCCTTATATTTGGCCCAGTAGCTAGGGAAAGGTTTCAGAGTTGTGATATAAATAAATAAACTGTGAAAAAGACCCATTTTTCTCCAACTGAAAAGTAACTCCTCTCAAAAGGGCAACAAACCCTTGCCATTAGATCAAAACCCATATTTGATTAATAGAAAATAAATAAACAAACCAGCATTCTTGATCTGAGTGTTATTTTTCTTTTTTTTTTTTTAATCATTTTTCTATTTGCACCTGACTCTTTTCTTTACAGAGCTTTTTACTCGATGTTCTGTTTTCTCTGCTGAAGTTCAAGCATATACAGTACCTGTTTTATTAGTGTCACTTGGCTTTTCATTAGACAAGGAAAATGAGCCTCTACAGCATTCAAGGAAGAGACCAATAAAGATATATTACTGCCACTTCACTCAATAAGAGCAGATGGGTCATAATAGTACGTCTGATACCAGTGCATTTGTAGAGTAATTCTTTCTTATCAGGCAGTTAATGAAATGAATTTCTATCATAGCATCTTTAAAATATAATACTCTCACAACTGTCTTTAAAGACCTATTTTGAAGCAAATATGTTATCTATCAAAACATTCATTAAAATTAGGTGCAGGCCTACAGGAAGAGAAAGATTAAATCATTGAGGCATCTGGGCCTCTTATTCCTCTAATGTGACCTCATTATATCATAATTTGTTATTGCAGAAATTTAATTTTCTGATGCCATGGAATTATTGAGGGTCTCCCCTTTTGCAGCATTTTTAGTCTACCTAATTGTAAACTTCAAGATCATTTGGTATTTGATACTGGTTGGCTCCAAGATTGGATAGGAAACCAATAGTCCATAAATGAGGAAGCACTTAGTGAGGAAAACGTGATGACATCTATTGACTATATTCTGAGATAAGATAAATAAATAACACTTTCACTTGAGATGTCCTCAACTACTCCTCAACGCATTTGTTAACTCTGTTCAGAGCAGATGCTTCTCTGCTTCAATATCAAGTAAAGAGGGAGATTCAAGACTAACCATGGCCACGAGCCTACCAGCACTACCACTGAGCATCACTGATCCAAGGGTTATGGAGGAGAAATTACTTTACATGTAAACTTGACAGCTGGACTTTGAATATCACAGGACTGACATGACAAACATTCCAGTTAAGATACGCTACCACAAGAATTCTTCATGCAATTCCAGGGTTCTTCACTTGGACACTCTTCCCTCCTAGTGAAATGTACTGGAAAAGCAAATTACTTTGATGGCACTCTATTAATCCTCCCCAGTTGAGGCATGACACTGGAAGACTTCAGAGTTTCCAGGAATCCATAACTGAAGTTCTACCACCTATCAGTTCTTTTATGGCAGAAAATCTCAGGTAAACAATGTGATGATGCCTTCCTTCAGAGAAGGGTCTGTAAATTTTGGATACTCCACAGTTGTCGTATGTGGGATGCAAAAACAAAACACCTGTTAATACACACAGCTCCACATTCAAAGCTATTGCAAACTGGAGTAGAATAGTAAGAAATACATACCCTCATTAAACAGTATTCCAATGTTCCTACAGTTTCCCACACCAATCATGAAATGCACTTCAAGGCTTGATCACCGGGGCACAGCTTCTCCTGCTGCTCTGAAGTTTGAAAAAGCCTTGTGCAAGACCAAGTATTAAAGAATTTCCCCTTCATATTTAAAACAAAGTAGCCTTAACCAAGCAATTAAAAAAAAAAAAATCAGGTATGAGCAACTGAACTGAGTTCTCTACAAGTACAGCAATATGAAGAATGCATCCAAATTGCATGCAGCTTTGTCATGTACTAAGTTACACATATACTTATGAAGGCTAAAATTAAAAACATTAAGACAGTTCTAAATCAACAGTGTGGGTTTGCATCAATATTCATATACAAAATTTGGCCAAGGTATTCAGCTTCATTTTCTATGAATACATCAAATTTTAATTCTTTAGTGGGTAAATGAAAATACCTTTGCAATGGTGTTCCAGATTACAAAAGATCTTGTAATACATTATGATCTTACAATACAGAGGTTAGCACTTCATGACCTCGACATTCAGAATAATAATTTGGAATTTTCAATTTTTTAATGAAAAGAAAAAATCTTTTGTTTTCCAGTCTGCAAGTGGATACAAGAATTCTAGATGTTTAAAAGAAAAAAACCCAAGAGACATCATATGCATGTAAACTCCCTGATGTTTAAGTGTGTGTAAGTAAAACCACTTTTCTTAATTACCTTGTAGTTCAATAATCTAATAATAATTAATTTCAGTAAACCCATAAATATAGCTTAAAATGCAAACTCCATTTTTAATCAGTGAAAACTGCCATTTGTTGAAAAGATTTCTTGAGTAATAACTTTGCAGTCTTATTAGTAATGTGGATTTATAAGAAAATCAAAACTATATTAATTATACCGTATCCTCATTATATATTAATAGACTCAGAAACCAAGCATTTTGTGCCTTGCCGACTGAGGTGTAATATTTATATGAGGCTTTACAGCAGCAGCCAATGTGGCACTTAGTTCTAATGCACCTACTTTAGAGTATTGACTTGGTGCCCCTGGGACACATGAGCTCAAATCCCAGCCGGGAATGCAGATGCGCTGCACAGAGCCTCTAGAACAGTGTCTTGGGGGTTCTCACTTCTCATAAGGGGATGAATTTTGTTAATAGATGCAGTTTGTGTTTTGAGACATCAGCTTATGAATGCAGAACGTGTGTCTATTCCAGGCAAGGCCGTGGAATTCTTGTGCTTCAGTGGGAGAGAGACCTGATAAGATGCAGCATCTCACGGTCAGCAATATGCAGCTCTGTAAGCATAGGCACACACAACCCTCACACAAAGCTATGAGCTGAAGTAATACCTCATCCTCAGAGCACAGTAACAGGAATGCTGCTTCTTGCACTGCACACAATGTATTTGCCCGGCTGGAAAGCCCTGGTTGCTTTGGCAGCTGGTGGGATCCAGTGTTTGGGTTGTTTTTTCCGGGTATAATCTGAGAGCAGAATGACTGATCGATTCCATCTCCATGACAGCAGCTCTTGCAGAGCAACTGCTTAAGTCAAATGTCAGACTTTTGACACTACTTGATCATCAGTGGTTTCTGTAACTTAACTGAGTTTGCTGGTTTTTTTATCTAGTTGTTTTGTGGTCCAGATTGTTTATTTTGAAGGCTGCTAGAGATGACTGAAGCTGCCAGACAGATGTTGAACTCCATTAGCATCCGTATGAATCTTAACTATGCCGGTCTACCCTGTGAACGATTTCTCTACTCACCCCAGCCCCAGGATGCTCCTTTGAGAGAGATGCTGCTCCAAAGGGCCTTTACATGAAACCACTTTCCCTTGAGCACTGATCTGTTGACTGATGCAGAGGAATGTAGAGGGCTCCTAAGAGAAGCATTTGCATGTAGTTTGCCACATCACTACCCTGCCCTACACGGGGATGGACACCCATCATATCACTGGTTCTCCCTGCCGTATACTTTCCATATCTGTGGGTGCTGTCACATGCCTGGTCCACAGTAGCCTTGTGAGATCTCAAAGGAAAGAGAGAATATGACCCAGTCCTTCTCCTAAGCCCAGGAGACTTAAGGAAAAGCTGGAGTGAATTGATCTGTGGAGCATGAGCCCACTGGAAACTTCCACAGTGACCTTGTGGGCCCATTAGCCTCAACTACAGTCAAAGCCTAACAAACCATGCTCAGGTGGAGACTTGAGCTCTCTATCTTACGAAGTCCCAACCCATTAGCAAAGCAGGGAGTGATGCTCCTGTGAAGAGAATTAATTCCTCCCTCCCACAAAGGAAATGGCAGACATGCCTAGTGACTATTCTTCGTCTCTTTTTAGCTTTTCTAAGTTCATTTTCTTGACTTCACCATCCTCATAAGTGTTTGCAGCTCAAGCTGTGTCATCTGAATATGTCATTAGTCACTGAATAGGCAAGTGAGGAACAGTCAGCTGGGAAGGATTTAGGACTATATAATGCTGATCTCTGCCCTCTGTGGATTATAAGCATTTTTCTAAGTGCCTCTAATTTTAATCTCCCAAGCTGTGGCTTGTACAAAAATATATTCAATGGCCTCCTCTCTAGTGTAATATCTTTATATTAAGGATTTTCTCTTTCACCTCAGGAAGTCAGCTTTGTGGCAAGCCATCTCATTTAAAATGTAGTGAAACAACAGTGGCATATTTCTGTGGAAAATTGGAAGTACCACAGGTGATAGATTCAACTCTTGCCTCTGTCCAGTTACAAGTGTTGGAGATGGAAAAAATAATTTTGAAACACATTGCTGAAAGTTCAATCTTTTCAGTTAGTGAAAGTAAGTAATTTACTTCTGTCCGCAAGTAATAATTATCTGTAGTGATGGAGAAAGACAGCCCAGCAGGGTAAAAGGAGAATAAGAAATCTTTGAATTTTTTGAAAGCCTTCAAAAGGATCAGTAAGCAAATTCTCTGTACCCCCTTCCTCCTTCCTGCCACTGTGCAAACAGGAGAGGAACACAAAAGAAAAATTAATTAAAAATTCAATAAAATAAAGCAGACACCTAATAAGCAGACACTTAACTCTCTTGTGATTCAAATAAGACCAGTGGTTAGAGACAGGATTCAGGTGCAAGGAGTGGGAAATAGGTAAGGGGACAGAGTCAATGTGGGTTTAATCCTGCTTTCAGGAGAGTCAGACTGTTTTGGGCTTTCTCTAGGGTTATGCCCATGTGAAAACATCAGATCAGATGTGAATGAGTCAGATCAAATTTTCAGAAGTATGGATCAAGTGATTCTGCCTAAGTCCTGGCCGAACTTCTGTCCTGATTTGTTCATTTCTGTACTTCTCACTCAGCACATCACAAAGTGAAGGAGCCTTTTCATAAACTTCTCTGTGCTTGCTGGTTGAGGAAGTCCAGTGGCTTCTGGTGACCATCAGGACTATTTGCAGTTCTCTGCTTTATTGTGTGCTAGGACAGATCACTACTGTGCAATTTCTACCAGGTCCATCGATGGCTTTAAGGGAGCTTATTTTTAGTGGATAACCATCACATCCTTGTTTTCTTTTCCTTTTTTGGCATTCTCTGCGCTAGTTTGGTTATTCAGCAACATACTCCTTTCAGACTGGGGAGGACTGTAGTTTTAGAGACTGGGAAGCCAGTAGAGAAGCGAGACATAAGCAACAGCTTATGGAAAGGCTTTTAGAAACAGAGCAAGCATATGAGCACTTATCAACTATATACTGACTATCTGATACTTTTGACAGTGCTTTCTCCCAAATGTATTATTTTTTCTTATTGTGCTGTGAGCAGTATTTCTTCACCAGACACTCCTACTTTCTTAATAAATCATTAAATTCTTCTGCATTTACCCATCCTTAGACTTAGAGCTTTCTGTTCAGTGTCTTAACCAAAACATCTTTCACACTGCGGGGGCTTCTTCCATGAATTGTTTCTGACCGACAGTACAGCTTCATCTGCAGTCAGTGCCCTGAGCACTCTGCCTCCCCTATCAACTGTTTCAGGCAGGAGTGAAAACACACCCTATCTGCCTATGATATCCTCTTTATTTCCTTGTTGCAGCCCTTTTCATTTCTCCCTGGCTGTTCTCTGACAGCTGCAGCCCAGGCTCCAATCTGCTGCAGGTGGCTCTTTTTGCCCTTCAGGCTTTCTTCACCATTGTGATGCATTAATGAAGTAGAGCTCCCTGTCAGACTTCATCAGCAGTCTTGTGAAGGCAGAATGAAATCACTTCTATTGACCCACTGGCATATTTATAGGCTCCTTCTTTTTGCTGAGTATGGCAGTTATCACCTTTCCATCCCCATGTTGTGTTTATTCAGCAGAAAGCTAAATCACATCTGTGCACAAGTGGAACATTAATCAGTAAACGTAAGCCACTCATAAAGACTGCTGAACCTATCTAATTACCAGTGCTGGGATAGCTCACAACACCTACCCCTCAGAGGGGTTCACAACCCCATCAATCCACAGGCCTCTAAACAGAGCCCAGCAAGCTCAGAGACTTTTTCAGCTCTCCTCTTGCTTGACTGTCCCCAGAAAGCAGCATTTTGTAGTTTTCCTGGACTTATTCCGGATACTTCTCTTTTTTCCTACAGAAACAACAACAAACCCACTTCAGAGCATTTTTGTTTCATTTCACTATTGATTTATTTTTTTTTTTACTTTATCACTGTTCTCCTCTTTCTTAAATTGCTAAATACCAAACTCAAACACCATTTGTGTTACTGGAGTTAGAGTTTATTGTATCAGTTCATACTATATTACTAGAAGAAGCATAATTCTATACATATAGAATATGTATATAGAATGTATATAGAATATATTTTTTTTTTCCAGTAATGATGCATAAACAGCAAAAGCATTTAATAAACTTTGTGTGAAAAGAAGTTATAAGCTGTATGCATACATACAATGGAAAAAAAAAGATGCTGTCTGACAAAGTTTTTATTATTTTCTAATGAGACTACAAATTTGGCTGTCCAAGATCTCTTTGAATAGATATATATTAGCTTCTAAATCTATATATATTTTAATAACACTGAATCGAAGAGTCAGGATTATAGAGGATGTTTATGAGGGAGAAAAGCAGTTCAGAAAA